AGTATGAAACCCAAAAATCAGTTTTTCTGATGGGGACCTCGATGAAGGGACTCATAGTTCGATCTTACCAAAAGGCGACAGCAGATTCCTACTGCTGTATATATATTTATATATATATATATATGAAAATTTTTTTTACTTAGTGTTAGCTCAGAATCGCTATATTGAAATCCAGCCTTGATAATGAATTCTAGGCGAAATTACCTGAATCGAAGGAGGATGTCTTGTAGACTTTTTGGCATAATTGTTCGAATAAGACTAGATGAAGGAGAGCAGAGCATTGGCAATCAGCTTTTGCCTCATGGGGATATTAACCAACGAGTCTGTTCGTCTGGCGCGTAGGGAAAGTCGCTATAGCAATGCTACCTTAAGAGAACTACGAGCACACACATACACAACTTTTTGTAAGTATCTACGCCAGGCAGAGGCTTACGATGGAAGTTGTTGTAGCAGGGATTTGTATCTCCGATAGTGCTTTTAAATTGCATAACAGGTCAACGCTCGGTATGGTTCGGGAAAATCGTAGACTTGGGATCCATTGTTCTCAGCTTTTTACTGATTTTTTTCTGTTTCCCGCATTGCTTCTGCCTAAGGGGATCCGTAATCTGCTTCTATCTCAAATTCCTCTACTTCTGGTCTTCCTTGAATGGAGCCGTGAATCTCGATTGTTTTGCTTCGCAATTACGACTGCTTATTCATGCGAATTGGGTGACATGTTCGAAAGGCTTATACTAACTCACAGGCTCGTTATCGCTGATCATCTTAGAGGGTGATACATTTAGCGGTTCTTGGAAGTTTGACTGTTGCTTGCTCGCATTGCAACGTTCACGGACGCTGGATGAGGCTGGTCGGACCAAATTTGAGGCGACATTAGACAAAGCAGACGAAGCATGAGTGGAATGGATGGCGGCCTATTGCACGTGTGTTCATGCGTTCCCTTCTGTGTGTATGCCTTCCTGCATTACTGTACACATTAGGAAGATAAAAGAAGCCTTGTGCTTGTCTGACATTTTGGAATCTCCTTTGGTATAACAAGTTTCGTTAAGGGTGGGCGGAGGCAAGATGGTATAGGCCAGGGTCAGGCGACACTGGGGCAGAGCAATTCTGGCAATCGAGGAGGCCTTCAAGTTGAGACAAAAGGGAGTGGAGCAAGCTGGTAGCAGACAGCAGTAGGAACTCGACGCTCAACGATATTATTAGTGAGTAACTGGGCTATGCAGGCATGCGTGTAAGCATATGGCTTAGTTTGTGTACATATTGCACTATATGTGTGTGAGCATGTGGGCAGAAAAGGAGGACAGGAATCTACCTATCGCATGGTCTACGACAGTCTGCTCCTTTACTTCATCAATTATCTTCTCTCGGACCTGGCTGCCTTGAGAACGGCTTCATCGGTCTGTCAATCTTGCCTCAACTCTGGCAAAAGTCACTTTAAAGTGAACTCACGTCAAGACAGTCGTCCAGCCTCCTCGGGGCAGGACTCACAAAGGCGCGGGACACAACTGAGTGAGACGAATCTGGCACATAAGGCACGGTATGGTACAGGGACAGGAGGGGATGCGACACTTCGAGACGGGTTGGGCATGGACGAATGTCACTTGATTTGCAGTCAGAGTACACGGTCGATCGTCCGATTGGGGCAGATGCAACCTCTCGCCTCTTGTCAAGTGATGAATTCAACTTCACTCTCGAAGCCATTTAGTGTCCTGATTATTCCTCTACTTTAGTGGTCCACTTGTGTCGAGTCTCGCATATCCAAGTTAGCCCCGGAATTCGGCTGGACCATTTGCCTCAGCTATAACCATTTGCCGAAAGACCTCTCTGTAGTTTTACTCC